AATAAGAATTTGCTTGTGGAAAGAAATTGACGTTAAAATAATGCTTGCTGCTACTGTGTTGATGACCACCTTTCCAGGTGTGAGACAAGGGACAGGAATCTGCTGTGCCCTAAGTCTACCTCAGTTCCTCTGTGATCATTTTGTTGTAGTCAGACCTCCAATGTCTCCCCTAAAATGAAGTCAACTGTTTTTTTTTTCCTGCTGCTCATCTGTTTCAAATGTAAACGTATCTGAATCTTCAGAGACAAGACTGGCTGGTGAATTTTCAAGGCTCACTTTGAACCTCCATCTTTTTTTCTCAAGCTGACTTTAGGGCACCAACCCGTAAATATGAAACACTCCCCTGATGGATTCATGTTTTGGAAACTTGATTGCTAGCTGATAGTGCTGTATTTGGAGGTTCTAGAAACTTTAGGAGATTGGGCCCGGCTGGATATTTGGCCTAGCTGGGGCAACCCCCTACAGGTAGCTTCTTGCTTCGTCCTATATGTCCTCTCGGCTTCTTGTCCACCATGAACAGCTTCTGCAGCAAGCCTCCTTTGCCACAGTAGTGAAGCACACAGAGCCAGACAACTAAGGGCAAAGTCCTGAGACCACATGCCAAAAGGAGTCCTTTCCACGTAGGTTGTTCCTGACAAGCTCTTTGCAAGAGCAAAGAACATCTAACCCCATCTCTGAGAATTTGCTACCCTAACGTACAAGCCGCCACTGCCATTCACCTCTATGCCAAGTGCCTTCATTCCTAGCAACAACAAAACAAAAATCACATGATTTCTCATCTCCTCTCCCTGTACATTTCTTGGTTTTAAACACAAGATTAAGTTGGAGGACAGGAGAAAGTACAGAATATGTTTGTTTTCCAGAACTCCTCTTAGCTGGCCTTGGCTGTATAACCCCTGAGAACCTGGGCCTGTGTGTACAGTGCTCACTCAGGATATCTTGCATGTTTCTGCTCAGTTTCGTCTAACCAGGACCCGGTTTCAAAGCTCTGGTGTGAGGTTTTGTTGCCCCCTTCTTTGTGAGGGATTGAAAATGTTAGTGTTATCTGTCTTCCTTTTCCCTTTTTCTCATGGCATACCCACTTTGCTACCTGTTCATTTGGGTGATCCTTTTATTTAAACAGATCTGATTATTTAGCATGTATATTATTCGTTGCCTATTTCTGTCTCCTGTATCCAGAGATGTGTGTGAAACACGAGAACCATGCCTTGGCTAGCTAAATGTTTAGCACACGTGTGTTGAATTAGTCCCGAAGCTCTCTGCATTGAATGTCCTGAGTAGAAATGATTTGAGGGGTTGATACTTAAGCTAGTCTGCCATCTATGCTGTCTCCATTGTCATTAATAAAACTTTTAGAAGTTGCTCATCAGTTATTAGAACTACACAAAGAGAGGTACAATGTCTAAAACAATTGACTATTTGACAGGCGTCCAAATCTATTACTACCAATAGATTCAGGGTAGAAAATTGTATGATAGAAATGTCTAAATCTAGCCAGTGGTCCATTTATTTTAAATTAGGCTCTTATCTACAAAACCCTATTACAGAAAAGTGATTTAAGCAGATTCTCATGTCTTCTCTTTAATGTGACTTAACCTATAAGTCAAGAAGATTTCAATTAAATATTTTGATGATGAATCTGCATTTTTTTAAAAGATCTTGAGTAATTTTAGCTGAGCAGTGGTGGAACACAGGCCTTTAATCCCAGCACTCGGGAGGCAGATTCAGGTGGACCTCTGTGAGTTCAAGGTCAGGCTGTTCTACAGAGGTAATTCCAGGATGGCCAGGGTTACACAAAGAAACCCTGTCACAAAACAAAAAACAAGAACAAAAAGAGTTGTATTTAAACAAATATCACATTTCATAAACTCTTTATTATCAACCTCTCAATTGTGTCTTTCTCTTCTTAAATCATCTTCAGCAGTGATGAAGACAAGTCCCGAAGTGTTCCCACTTTGACCCTCAGGTGCCCTCAAAGGGTAAAACCCCACACTCAAACGCATTCAGAACATCATTTTGAGCACCAGCCTATGCTTTTCCTAACCACATTTGAAGCTTACAGATCCCTGCTCTGCTCAGAGACAAAGACAGTGAAACTGAAGAGGGTAAACATGAGAGGATCAAAGCAACCCCTTTTGAGTGCTGTGCCTTGTGGGCTTTTTGCTGTTGTTTTATTTTTTCTTTTTATTAAAATTCCAATGTCTTATGTAGGGTTTCTATTGCTGGATTAAACACCATGACCAAAAGCAATTTGGGAAGGACAGGGTCTATGTAGCTTACTTTTCCATATCACAGTTCATTATTGAAGCAAGTCAGGGCAGGAACCTTGAGGCAGGAGGTAACACAGAAGTCATGGAGGAGTGTTGTTCACTGGCTTACTCCACCTGCCACCTGCTTTCTTATAAAACCCAAACCAACAACCCAGGGATGGCGCCACCCATAATGGGCTGGACACTTCCCTATCAATTGCTAATTAGGAAAATGCTTCACAGGCTTGCTTTCCTCCTCCTCCTCCTCCTCCTCCTCCTCCTCCTCCTCCTCCTCCTCCTCCTCACCTTCTTCTTCTTCTTCTTCTTCTTCTTCTTCTTCTTCTTCTTCTTCTTCTTCTTCTTCTTCTTCTTCTTCTTCTTCTTCTTCTTCTTCTTCTTCTTCTTCTTCTTCTTCTTCTTCTCTCAAGTGACTATAGCTTGTGTCAAGTTTACATAAAACTAGCCAGGACATTTAGTTTTTTTTATTTTGTCCATGATGAGTCATTGTGATTTGTAACAACTGACTTGAAACATAAAAGGATGAAGATTGTATTTTTCTATACATAAGCTAAGCAGGTTCTCTTATAGTTCCAGGAATCTGTTGGAATCCTGGACCCACCTCTCCTTACCAGAACTTACATTAGACGTGTTTTACAACTATTCTGAGACACTGACTCTTCACTCTTGAAACAAAGTTTTTGGTACTCAACGTGTAGCCTGAGACAGTGACTCCCATGTACAAGCAATAAATCTCACTCCTCACAGCCTATAGGTGCTGACATACATGTCATTGTAAGCCATAACTAAATCAGGATGCTAGTTTTCCTGATGGGTCTGATTTACTTCCTTTGGAATTTTCAAAAAAAATTACAAAGCTCAAATCTCTTTTAATCATGTTTGAACCATTACTTTTATTGAAAAACATCATGTAGAAATAGTGTCATTCAGCACACATCCATATATAAAAATGTCCAAGTTACTAAATCTTTGTCCTACAGATCCAACCTTCGTCTGGGAGCCTAGAAGTCATCCTGACATTTCGGGAGACTTAAAGACCGTCCTTGATCTTTGTTAAGCTAATTGATGTGTGTAATAGTTCCTAGCTGCTATTGGTTGAATTGTAGCCCTCAGAGAATGTTAAGTTCCAATCTTCAGGTCTGTGAATATGACTTTATTAAGAACTAGGGTCTTGTAGAGAATCAAGTTACGATGCAGCCATCAGGGTAGGCTGCACTTCAGTATCACTGGGGTCTTTACGAAAATGGAGCAATTTGGACACAGACACACATATGCATAAGGCAGGGATAGGAGTTTTATAACTACTTGCCAAGGAATGTCCAAGGTGGTCAAAATGATCAGAAGCTTGAAGACCAACATGCAATGGATCTTGCCCCCAGCTTGAGAAGGGAACAAATCTCTGGCACCTTGATGTGGGTCTTTGAGCCTTTGGGTGGCTTAAGCTCCTGGTTGTGCTTTGTTATGCCACCCTAGTCTAGGAGGGCACGCACCCACCATGGAGGGAAGGGGGGGATCAGGGAGGCGTGGGCAGCTTGTAAGCAGTTTCTGGTGCTCTAGCTCCATTCAATGTGTTCTCAGGTGCTGGGTCTTGCCAGGATCCCAGAGTTCCAAAACGTTCCTTTGATAGAGTAGAGAAACAAGGTGAACTGGGGGAGAGAGACAGAGGAGAGGGCAGGGGATGGGTAGGGGTCTGGGGAGAGAGAAGGAAAGAAGGATCAGGCAACAGGCTGGAAAGCTACTAAGAAAGAGGATGGCGGCAGCCACGAGGTTTTCAAATTCTTGCCTCTCCTCCACTCAGCACCAGGAGTCCTCCCATCACAGGAAAATCATCTTTTCTCTTTATTGCAAGGAAGAAGGCTTTAAGCATCCATTCTTCATGCTAAGCCACATGGATCTGGTGGCAGTTAAGTGATCGCTACAGTTGGCCCCTCTGGCCACCCTTATCCTGCAAAGCACCAGCTGAGGTTGAAGGAGAATTCATCATTTCCCACTTCCCCACCCTACAGCAAACCCTATTCAGGCCCTTTTCTGGCTAATGAGGCCTGCAGAGCCACCAGCTGTCAGTACTTATCCTTGAATCAACCAAAGTAGCAGCAGGTAGCACCCATCTGCCAAATACATGCACAGTTTTTGATTGCTAGGAAATGTAGTTACCAGTAGTCACCATTAGTTGACGAAGTACAATGCTAAGCATTTTGTGCACACATACCTAAATATTATTAGTGCTTGTGCTATGTGGTGTTGGTGAGTGTGTGTGAGTGTGTGAGTGTGTGTGTGTGTGTGTGTGTGTGAGTGTGTGTAAGACTGAGCATTTTGTATAAAGGTCAGAGGATAACTTTTGGAATTGGTTCTCTCCTTCCTCCATGAGATCTGAGGATGGAAATCAGGTCTTCAGGCTTGTGTGGCAATCGCTTCACCCACTGACTCATCTTGACAGCCTTATGTACATTATTTAACAGGCATTCAATCAATATTACATAAGAGCCTACTGTGTACAGCTACCGAGTTGGGTACTAAAGACAGAATGGACACAGAGGATATAAGCCCTCCTTATTGTAGATGCATGTAACTTACCAACCACTCCCAAATTTTCCAAGTTGGACTACAGAAAATTTCACTTGGTAACGCCTACAGATCAGAATTTTAAGCAAACACATTTATGGTCAAGAACTTAACTTTTCTTATTAAAATTAGACAGAAATGGCAATTTTGATCCCTTTTTCTTTCTTTCAGCCATGACTTAGATGCAGTACCTACAGCTGTCACAGCTATCTTAAAACCATCAGCTAAAGACCAAGTGACATGAATGAGCTCCTAAGGCCTTCTGAGCAATCAACTGTTTAGGGATGACAGTGATTCTATCCTGGCATAATTACTGAAACTTGGTGTCTCTGGTGCTTGCAGGTAAATTACAAAATGGATACGGCTCTTTCCATATGATGCTGATGGTGATGGTGATGGAGATGACAATAATGGTGATGATCATAGTAGTGATGATAATGATAATAATGATTATGCTGGTGGTGATGATGGTGATAGTGCTGATGGTGATGATAATGGTGATAGTGATGATGATGATGATGATGGTGATAGTGATGATGGAGATGTTAGTGATGATGATGATGGTGGTGATGATAATGGTGGTGATAATGATGGTGGTGATGATGATGGTGATAATGATGGTGATGGTGATAATGATATCTAAAGGACCAGACACAGCCAGTTTATCTCATAATATTTATTTAGTTGGGACTGTGACAAATGATATTGAAGTACAGGACACTAAGAGCAGGTATAATCTGCATATCCAATGCCATCTGCAGAAAGATGTGGGCACAATCCTCATTCTGCCACTATCAAGTTGTATAACTTTGGGCAAGAAGCTGAACCTTTCTAAAGCTTTCCTCCAAAATCTGTTAAACAGGGAACATAACACTATCTTCCATAGGTTTTCCACAAGGTTTCATTGATGAAATGCATGTTAATGTGTCTCTGAACATTAACCATTAAAACAAATGTTTACTGGTAATCATTAGTAATGTATAACTATGCTATATATCACATATGGATATTTTAAAATGGAAATTGATTTATGTATCTTAAAAATTTCATACATGGGAACTGTACATCATTTCCATCCCTTTGCTCCCCCTCTACCTCCTCCCATGTTTCTCCTCTCATTCATGAACTCCTCCTTAATCATTCTTACATATGAATAAATAATGAGTTCACTTAGTATTGGTCCTATGTGTATATGCTTATGGATGCTCTCGGGAATGAATAACCTTGTCCCTAGAAAGGCTGATTTTAGTTCTGTAAGCATTAATTGCCTATATCACTTCATCTAGGGGTAGGGTCTGTAAGATGTCTTCCATCTGCACTGGCATGCCAACTAGTGTTGTTATTGTGTAGGTCTTGTTTAGGTGACCATGTTTGAGATTTAATGTTTATCATATATAGACAATGCTATCACACAACAGATACCCTGGTTCTTTGGATCTTACAGTCTTTCTGTCCCTTCTTCCATGATGTTCTCTGAGACTTAGGCATACGAGTTGCATTGTAGATATATCAGCTGGGGTTAGGCAACCCATGGCCATTTGTTCTCTGTATTTTGACTAGTTGTGGATTTCTGTAACAGTTTCCTTCTGCTGCTAGGAGAGCTTTCTTTAATGAGAAGTGAGAGCTACACTATGACTGTATTTAGAATTCAGTCAGAGATTATAATGGTTTAGGAAAGTGGAGGCAATAGATTTTCCTCTGGGGTTCATGACCCCAAAAGCCATAAGTAGTTGACTAGATTTACAGTACTACACATGAGTTCCTGCCTATTAAGTAGGCCTCAAATCAAATTAGACAGCTATTGGCTACTCCCAAGGCACAATTGCCACTATCTCACTAATTATTTTTATTTGTGAGTGGTTATCTGCTGGAGATAGCTTCTAGGTTAGAGATGTTTACTTGTGTCCACTTCTGCTCAGTGCTAGGACACCATCTGTTGTAGACCTGTGTCGATCCAGCTGGGTTTAGAAGGCCTTGTTTCCTTGGTATCCTTAGTCCCCTATGGCTCTTACAGTCTTTGTACCTACTCTTCACAAAGTTCCCTGAGCCTGAGGGGATGGAGTTCATCAAGTCATCCCATTAGAACCCAGTGTTACTGTGTCTCTTACTCTTTGCACACTGTCTGGAGATTGGTCTGTATATTTGTTCCCATCTTCTGCAGAAGGAAGCTGCTCTGATGATGGCTGGGCAAGGCACTGATCTGTGAGTATTGCAGAATGTCCTTAGGGCTCATTTTATGGCTATGCTCTTTTAGCAGAACAGTAATATTTGGTTTTCCCCTAAGTCCCTGGTCTATCTGGTCTCAGGTTCTTGGCTACTCGAGAAATGTCAGGTTCCATCTCAGGGAGTAGGCCTTACATCCAGTCAGGTATTGGTTGGTCACTCCCACAAGCTTTGTGTTGCTGATGTACTAGAACATCTTGGAGGCAGAGTATCATTGTAGATGGAAGACTGTGTAGCTGGCTTGGTGTTTAGCTTTCTTCTTGGCTAGCATGCAGAGTACCTTCTAGGACCATAAACACGAGTTTGTAGGGAGGAAGGTTCTACATAGGTACCAGCTCAACTTCTCTGTGTTCAGTGAGTTGTGTATGTGTTGTCTTCAGCTGTCAAGCCCTACTTAGGCATTGTTCTTAAATGATTCATAAAGATCATACTACCTTGTTACAAGTCTTGGTGAATCATCTCCCTGGAGTATGTAAACCTGTAAATGTGATAGTATATCTTTCCTAAAGTTATATTTACTGGTACCCCAAAGAGGTTCTAAGTTACTGCCTTCTGTAACCAAACAAGCCCTTTTAAAGCAGAGCACCATTTGCAGGGAAGAAGGCCAGAGATATATTAAGATGTAGCAGGCATAGTATGAAGTACCTCCAGAACCACATGAACTAGAACTAAAGACAGCTACTGAAAACCAATAGTTGCTGGCCCACAGTTAACAAGTAGGGACCTCGCCTTACTCTTCAGCAACACAAAAACATGGTGTCTCAGACATGTGAATTTGGGAGAGTTTGACTTCAGATGAGATAGCATCCCAGCTAAACTCTCAGTGCCCATGTGGACAAATCTGAGAGGAAATCCTACCTGAACTAGGTCTGAAAAAATGAAAGACAATGAATTTATGTTTTACTCCTCTGCATGTTGTAATTTGATATATAGCTATAAAAAATAAAAATAATTTTAAGTACCATATTATATGGAAGGATGTACCACATAATAGACTACATATATGCTTGCTTTGGTTAACCCAAAAATGAAAAAGTAGAGAATTATCCAAGGTACAGGGAGTGCATTTCCCTCTGTCATCACTGTCCTGAGGTAAGTAGGGCAGCCTCAAAGGTTCCAGGTGATTTTAGTTCCCAATTTACTTGAATAATCACATAATTACTTTTTACCCATTTTGTTATCAAGGTCATCCATGAAAAAATCCCTTTGCATCTTACCTGAAGTCACTCATTTGCGTGTGTGTGTGTCTGTGTGTGTGTGTCTGTGTGTGTGTGTGTGTGTGAGAGAGAGAGAGAGAGACAGAGAGACAGAGAGACAGAGAGAGACAGAGAGAGGGGGAGAGAGAGACAGACGGAGACAGAGGCAGATAGAGAGATAGACAGAGACAGAGATAGAGAGACAGAAAGAGACAAAGAGACAGACTAGGACACACACACAGAGACAGAGGCAGAGAGAGAGACAAAGAGAGACAGAGATAGAGAAGCAGAGGCAGAAAGACAGACAGACAGACAGACAGACAGAGACAGAGCAGGTCTGGTGCATCTATTTCACATGCAGAACTGACAGAGAAGTTGTGGTCATGGCCTGAGTGTACAACCGGCTTTTGAAGTTTGGCCTCATAATCGCGCCTAATCTCGAGAGTCAGGGATTTTCCATCCCACTGATGCTGCATAACCCCAAGAAAGAGGAGAATAAGTCTGGTCAACAATTAGTCATTTCTACCTCAAAGATGACAAACTAGTAATCACTACAGTGTGCTGCCAAATTGCTCCCCAACCTTGCTTTCCCGCTGAGCACTTTGTTTTGATGGTTTCAGAAAAGGCTAAATGTAATTGCAGAGGAGAGGCCTCACAATTTTGCAATGCCGATCCACTCACTCACAAGGCGATGCTCGGCTCTTCCAGGAATGGAGGCATGAAGGACTATCATGCTTGTTTTAATTATGGCAATTCATAATCAAACACCCTTTCCCCGGGGCTTTGCAAACAGGTACAGATGTATTCCTATCCATGCGTGTTCTCTATCTACAAACTTCACCTGTGGGAAGGGAGAGGATGAAAAGGTAGGATAAAGAGCCCTCCCTAAAACAGCCAGGCATTTCCTCAACCCTCATCCTCTTTCCTTTAGAGGATTATAGGAGAAGGTGTGGTTCGGAATCTCTGCTAGTTTTGCTTGAGGGATGTTGTTAGGTCTAAGCTTCAATGCCAGGAAAGGAGGAGAGTTCCACGAGGTTGCAGAGGATTCTGGGAATCACAGGCAAGTCCGACAATTTTACTCACCAACACTCAGGCCACTGGGCAGGCAGATGACTTCAGGCACCCAGATACATGCCAGCATATAAGGACTGCACACAGATAGGCACAGAAACACAATCCCTAACACACAGTCAATATACAGATAAGTGCATAAGCTTAAAGACAAACATAAACACACACACACACACACACACACATACACACAAAGGTGTGCAAGCCTTTGTGCGTGCCTGCACACTGCCTGCAAAGGTGAAAGCCTCTGATTTCAAGGTCATATTTATACAGAAGTACACAACATGAAAGTGAGTACCAGAAATAGCTATGTAGCAGATTACATCACTGTTTACATTTGCATTTTCTAGACATCCTCCAGTGTTAGCCATTTTATGCTGATTCAGTACCCTGTGTCCCCAAAGCCCAGCATAAGCAGTGTTTGCCCACGCCAAATATTCAATCCAATTCCATGTTGTCTAAACATAAACTGATCCTCTATTCCCAATAGATTCTTACCATAGCAAGAAAGGCCAGAGAGACATTTTCTATCTTTCCTTGAAAGAATGTTATCCAAAATGCCTCCTTTTAGCCAGGCATGGTGGTACATGCCCATGCAGGAGGAGCTCTGTGAGTTCAAGGTCAGCCTGGTCTATAGAATGAGTTTCAGGACAGCAAGAGTTACACACAAACAAAACAAAACAAAAACAAAACAGAAAAGCCCCTTTGTTGAGATTTCCCTGACGACTTCAAGAAGGGTTTTTGTAGAGATGTAGACAGGGCAAATTGATGGTTGGTGGAATAGCCACTCCATCAATGCTTGCTGGTGTCGGTGGTAATTTTTTGCTAGATTATTCATTGTTAGAAAAAGGG